TGTTTTGAAACTTTCGGCCTGGTGAAACTTCCGAAATCTCCGAAACCTAGTTTCGCCAGAGACCATAAATCCGAAATGTTAGACAAACAGTGTTGGGTTTGGGTCTGTCTGAGACATGTTTCACAAATTTTAAATCCCAGATAGTGTATATATAAGTAAGCTACCAATGAGATTTACCAAGCGAATGCTATAAATATGGTTTTGAGGCATCAAATGCCTTTGATAAGGTTTTAGGAACTGAGACCAATAACCAATTGTCAAACCAATTTTAACAAAATAACTAACAATTAAATCCAGAAATCCCAAGTTCACGATAACCAATCCATGTGATTAGTTCCATCCAATAACTGAAATGCCAAGAAAACAACTAAAGCAACTAGTTCTATAGTTCTATTAGTTTTATTAATTTTATTAATTTATTAGTTCTTAAAGACAGTATATATTTGGTTCTACTATATGTATTAAATATATTACATCTCTATATATAATATATATTATAGTCACTAGCCGTAGTAATTAAAAGCCCTATTACGCCCGAATCAATAGTTCTCGCAATACACTCTAATAAATATTATGAGTACAGTTGTTAAGCGAAACCTAGAGGTTTCGCCACTGGCGAAAGGTGAAACCTAGTTTCGGCTAAAAAATAAAAAGACGAAATGGCGAAACTGGCGAAACCTAGCGAAACCTAGCGAAACTGGCGAAACATAGCACAACAAAATTGTCCCGGCATATTCTCGATTTGATTGGCTAAGAGAGACGATCAAAAATTTGGCAGGAATTACTCAAAATTTTACTAATGACGCCAAATTTCTATTTTGAGAATAAAAAAGTTAAAAAGTTAATTCCGGCCGGAAATTAGTAAACAGTTATGTAATGTGGGCCAAAATTTTGTAGATCCACGCCCGTTAGCCAATCAAAATCGAGGATCTGACGGGACAATTTTGTTGCGGCAGCTATAGTTAATTAAAGAATTTTTGCTGCGCCATAAACCTGGCACACATTCAAGAATTGCTTCGATACTATGTGATTACGGCATTATGACATTACGGCATTAGCAGATAATATCTGGTAAAATGCCGTAATCCAATAATTCTACTGTCAACTATAGCTCTAACCCTATATTTTCACACAACACATATATAATTACGTTAAAATTATTTGTTCTTATTGACAATCAAATTTTACACATTTTATCTATTATAGATCAATGATATATTTCCTGAGATTTAAAACTAGCTAAGAGCATCAGAAAATGATTGTTAAGAATAATGTTAATGAACTACTTACATATATATGGTACTTAATGTTTTTTAATGAAATGTTAAAGAGAAAAAAATAACAGTTTAATAATAAATTTATTTAAAATTTAAATTAAAGCTTTATGCTTATTTACATGAATAATATTAATACATGGATAAGAGATTCTAAAAGAAAACATTTAAGCTTTGGATTTCAAGGTTGAGTATACTTAATTATAAATTCTAAAGCCTGAATTCTAGCTTCCCTTTAATAGTAATTGAATATAAACAAATGGTTATCGTTTTGTTTATACTTTGTACATTTTTCATGTGAGTCACGCGCAAATTATTATTTTCATCAAATGTTTGAATTCTAATTTTCTTTTAATTGTATTTGAATACAAACAAAAAACTATTGTTTTGTTTATACATTTTTTATATAAGCCACATGCTGTACTTAATAGTTACGCAAAATATTTTCATTCATCAACATGGCTTAGTCTTTTTCAAAGTATTAGAGGATTTGAGTTTTGATCTTCTTTGAGGTTTTGTCTTTTGCCAGGTTTCGCTAGGGTTCGTCAGTTTCGTCAGGTTTCGTTAGTTTTGCCGGGGAGTTTCGTCTTTCGTCAGGTTTATGCTTCGTCTTTCGCCATTTGCCCAAAATGGTTTCGCCTAACAACACTATTATTGAGACTACTTGTTTCTTCAAATACATTTAGTTGTATACCTCTTTCGTAAAAGCAAATCACATAAATCATCTGTAACTCATAACTGCACTAAAACTATATATATTTTATTTTAGCATATACACTTTGTTTGTCATCAATCGCATACAATATCCATCACTAAAGGAAACTCGTTGCATCAAACTTGTAAGAGGTTGTTTGGGTGAAATATACACAGGTCAAATTTTAAAATTTCCATAATATTTCTCAGAGAGATCATCAAAATACCGATTTTTGGCGTATGTTTTCACCTATCTGAAGGATGTCAGTTCCAATAGGTACATCAAATATCTATACTTCTATCAAAAAGTATTGGATATCTTTATGCCTATCAAAGCTCATATCCGCTGATAGTTTCAAAAGTTTAAAATTTGATCTGTGATACGAATACTAAATAAATTGTCGCAACTGATGCTGAAATTTGGGGTCGTGATTTGAAAATATAAGCATTGCTAAAATCCACATATACTCTTTAATTATCAATTCTAACCCTAAACACCAACTCAACCATAAAAAAAAACCGAGGAAAAAAATACCCCAAATTTTTTAAAAAATTTCATATCAAAATAGGTCCAAATTTTCAGCATCAGTTGCGACATAAATTTTTCAAATTATAGATATAAATTTATTGTCCTTTTTGCAAGTATATAAAATTTATAAGTTTATATTTTCAATAGCTATGTCATTATCTAAAATGTTATAAGAATAGCCAAATTATGAATATAGAGACCTAATTAAATTGTATATAAATATCCTAGACATGTCCCTGATATGTTCCGAACATAAGAAAATTTAATTAAATTTAATTATGACTGTTAATTAATTATAATACAAACAACTCAACTACATACTGTGTGTCATCGCAATACTCTGTAAGTTTGTAACATAATTTTTTGGCAAATCATGACAGAAATTATAACCGCAATTCTAATACAAACTAAAGCACATACCACAGTAACAATTATATGAAACTTATATTAACACAAGGATTTTTATTCTTACTGACTTGTTAATGAATAAATAATAAATTGAATAGCTTATGTTAAATAACCATTCTTTATACTCAAAATATATGGATCGAGTGCTGCAAAAAGGGGTAAATCGACAAATTTCAATAATTTCTTTTTTTACAACGATTATTTTTACTTAAAAAAACATATAGTTCTTTAAAGTTTGTATTTTCTTATGATTTATTTGATCTTCCGAATATCTTTTATTTTGTCGATTACCTCTTTTACTGCAGCACCTAGCCCATCTTAACGCAAATAAAATAAAAGTAAAATAATAAATAAATATTCAGGAAATTAAATGGGCTTATTTTAAACAAATAATTATTACGTTCACTCACCAAATCAAAATGAATATAATGATTATTATGCTTACCCATCAAAACTTAAATATAAATAAAAAATGCAAAGACAAATATATATAAATTGAATAACTTATTTATAAAATCAATATAGATAAAAAGAAATCCCCAATATATGCTTAGATTGATAAGAAATTTTAAAAAGTAAATATTCTATATTAAATAATTTTATTATAAATAAGCAAAGTTTGAACAGCTTATTTTTGAACAAAACTAATAAACGTGAATAAAAAGTAATCGCAGTTTGCAAAATAACGTACTTTCATAGTACATAGCTAACTATACAATCATTTGATTGTCACCTGATTGTATTATTATAAAATGCATTACTTGGTCAAAGGTTCAAAATAAATATATTATTTTCATAAATTTTATCAGCTAAATTAATGCTACTAAAAAACATTATGTATATTTACATAACTGTTGACCTACAAATTTGATCAAAAATACATCATTTCGAAATAAAGAGTGAATAGTTTGAATATTTCAAATAATTTCGATATATTTTTAACCCGTATTGGTGGCAATAAAAAGAAATCAATAAAATGTATATTGTACTTTTTGTGTAAATACATTAATTATATTAGATGATTAATATACATATTATCGATGCAGCTAAAGAAATTGTAATTTTACTAATATGAATAATGCAAAGATGGATCTGTGACAGGTTATGTCGATCATCGCTGATTGTAGCCAATAAAATCACAAGCTCTCGTGTAACGCAAATAACAAGATTTTTACTATGATAACCACAGTTTGACTTCTAAATAAAAGTTTTCAGCACGAAATTTTTAGCTATGTGAACATTTTGAAATATCGAATATTAAGTAATCAAAGCTTGCGCTAAATTCTGATCTTTGTGCTCTTTCGATTTGGTAATCGGCATAACCTGTCTCAGATTCAGTACGTACGCAAAGATGTACGTATGAACTATTCAAATGACATTGATATTCTTGATCGTAACCTTATCATTACATATTTGAGTTTTCACATACTTGTAATATTACCTGATATTTGCTTATTTCATCTTCAAGATTTCTATTTCATTTTCTGATTTCCATGTGACATAACGCTTGTGATGGATGATTATTCGTTAGATAGTTTTAACTATAAGTGGCTAATCGATTTAAAAAGAAATGATCATGGTACGTACGTATGTACGGCATTATTTTATAATATTAGGATATATATACTATTGCTATTTATTTAATACTGTATTAAACTCTTATCAAATTTATTATATTATTAATAATAGTAACGAATATATTAACGAATATTTTAATTGTAAATAGTATGTATATTCATTTTTTAAATAAAATCAGGCGGTTTTGACATTTGAATAATACGATCCAGATAATAATGCAACTCCATGATTAGATTTACCAATTATGTAGATCAAATAGACTATGATAACGCCACCTATTTGATCAGGCCATAGCACAATTAATCTGCATTATGATTAATATTCTTCTTTCTGCTATCCCTAGCAAAAGGCATTTGTTATACGTAGCTGTGAATTAAAAATATAGCCACACATGTTAAAAACCTGTTACATAGTTTCACTAGTTATTGCACTAATTCTGTTCTTCGGACTATTCTTTGGTTTAGGTTATCCAGAAATCAAGAGGGCAGAATATATCACTACAACGTGTACAATCACAAATGAGTCCATTACATCCAGATACTGTTGCTATAAATATTGCGATTTTACTTGCCGAGGTGCACCCTATTCAGCACCTAGCTGCTCATCACTTGAAGCTCGTTGGAATGCATTTTCACCTACTAAATGTGCTGATGTTTTGATGGCAAACAATTCTCAAAATATTGGTGACTATTGTCCTATTGATGGATCTCAAGCAATTTGTGATAATGGATATTATTGCTGTAATGAATGTTGTCAAACATGCACAAGATGTTATAATAATAGTTGCACGACATATAGTTGTAATTGCTGGTGTTGTGACTATACATATCATCAATCCTGTCAGATTAAATGCCCTGAATGTTATACTTTGAAGTTAATGGTGCAGTATCCTATTTGGGGAGGTGAAATTATAACTTCTAACATTACAGTGGATTATGATCAGGCCCTAACAGATGCACAAAACTTTATGACAACATATCCTGTAGAATCCCAAGTGCGATGTTATTACAATCCCGAAAATCCTTTGCAAGTTTTATTATCTATAGATTACTCAGTTCGAACTTGGGTTTTAGTTGGAATAAGTGCATTCATTCTTTTTGTGATGCTTGCTATTGGGACGAATTACATCTTCCACAAAGCTTCATTTTTGCAAGATATTAGTTACAGAATTTTCTCTCTTCAAAGTGGAATATGGATCGGAACAATTACCCCATTATTGATGTTCTTTTTACTTTTGGTTCCTATCACAAATAAAAATCTTCTTTTGATACTCTCATTATGTTTTATCGCCATAGGGTGGACTCCTTTATTAATTAGCAGTAATATGGAATTTAAAAGTAAAAGTTTTTCAATGGCGTGTTTTATTACTTTTCTATTCTTTATATTACCTATCACTATTTTTGGTTTAACTGCTATTAATATTTCAATAAAAAGAGTGAAAATTTTATTGATAATGTTAGCAATTATAATACCTATAGGTTATATTTTTTGGATTACTGAAGTCTGGAACAAATTACACATACTTTTAACAAGATTATTCCAAAGATTATTCCATAATATTTTCAACGAAGAAAAGAATTTACCCATCAACACGGCAAATCGTAATGAAAATCCTATCATTGATGATAGTGCACCTCCAACTTATGAGGAGGCAATAGCGGAACCATAACAAAAGTAAATTGATATTATTATTTAATGTTATTTTATATTTCTTGGTTTTTTCTTTTACAAATAAATACTATCATTATAAAAAAATTCAAGCCAGAAATCTAACAATATTCTAATACTTGTCACATTACATTTAAGGTCCCGGTAACTAGTGGATTATAGGTTTTATTATGCTGTTAATTCTT